GAGTGCAGCGGTGGGCAAAGACTATGGTTTGGGGGCTGGGGCACCTGACTTCTGAGAAGAGGCTGAGGGAACTGAGCTAACTGAGTCTGGAAAAGACAAGAGTAAGAGGGGATTTAATAGCAGCCGTCAACTATCTGAAGGGGGGTTATGAAGAGGATGGAGCTGGGCTGTTCTCAGTGGTAGCAGATGAGAGACCAAGCAGCAATGGGCTCAAGCTGCAGCAAGGGAAGATTAGGTTGGATATTAGGAAAAACTTTCTTATAAGGAGGGTAGTAAAACGCTGGAACAGGTGACCCAGAGAGGTGGTGGAGTCTCCATCCTTGGAGGTTTTTAAGACCCAGGTAGACAAAGCCTTGGCTGGGATGATGCAGTTGGGGCTGGTCCTGCTTGGAGCAGGGACTTGGACGAGATGTGACCTCCTGACGCCCCTCCAACCCTCATTGTCTGTGACGGTGCAGTTGGCAGGAGTGCAGTGAAAAAGGCCTGCCGTGACACTTCGCCGTACAGTGCCGCCCCTGCTCCATATCCCCATAGCCCAACTTGCGTGGGCTGTGCGAAGATGTCGAGCTGTCCTCTGACTGCATCCTCCTGGCTTCCAGCGAGGAAGCAACACAGAGGGAGGGAAGCAGCTGCCCTGGGCTGAGAGGCTAAGTGAAGGATGTGGAGTATAAGAGTTGATGCAGGGAGAGAGAGGCCAAAGAGACCAAGCACAAAGTGGTGACCACAGCTCATAAGGAGGCGAATATGGAGAGCAGACTGAAGGGTGGCCAAGACTGGGCCACCGCAGGCTACCAGGGGGGCAGGGGCAGAAGTTGACCGAACGAGAGAAAGAGAAGCCAAGAGGGAATGAAAGAGTCCCTCCGTCTCCGGCCGACCCCCTCCAGACCGCTGCACACATCCTGCCCCCCTTCCAGCTACTCTGCGCTCTGTTTCCCACCCTAGAGCAAACCCCTGGAGGCCTCCTCATCCTGTATGAATAACTGCTGGGCCTCCTCCTGCCCCCGGACTGAAGCCGAGACTTCTTGTGAGGTCCCCCTCCCTGCACCGAGCCTTCTCCGTGGAAAGAAGAACAAGGTGAATCGGGGATGAGCTCTCCCCGGGGTCGAGTGCTGCATGCAGAGCTGCACGAAGCTCAGCAGCTCTGCTGCAACTGCCAATAAAAGAGACACACGGCTTGGCCGGAGCTCCTCATTCAAAGCTGGTGAAGAAAGGAGCGGGCTGGGGCCCTGGCTAGCATCCCTGGCTCAGGTCCGGAGCCAGCTACAGCTGCAGACAGAGACAGCACTGCCGTGCTCCAGTTCCTCCGCAGTCCCGCAGCGCTCTGCCTTCATTATTCATTAATGCTCGCTACCCCCAGAAAGGTAAGCCTCTTTCTGTATCCTTAAAGACGAGGAAATTGAGGCCTAGAGAAATGCGGGGACCTGTCTGAGGCCATACAGACAATCAACCGCATAACCCAGGGTAGACCGCTCTCTCGCTAAAACCTGGTTTGCGTTCTGGGTCCGGCCTTGTGCTCAGCTACTATGAGCTGTCACCTCCTCTCCCAACCCGTCGGACAGCATCTGAAATAGGCAGCCGTGACCTGGGAGTCGTTCAGCTCTACGACTACACTTGCTGGGTGCATCTACACATGCAATTAATGTGAAGCAATAAACTCTGGAGCAGCCTGTGTAAACTACTCCCGAGTGCAGCGTCTACGCGTGCGCCCAGGACAGCAGCAATTTGAGCTGGAGCAAAGCAGGCCCAGGCTGGCAGGGGGCACTGGGAAGAGCCCCAGGCTCCAGGAGGCAGCGTTAATTCATTTACTGCAGCCTCTCACCATTGCACATGTAGACGGTGATGCTTTACTCTGCAGCTGATTAGTCTACTCTACAGTAAGGTGCATGTGTAGATGCAGCCACCGTGTTGTAGTTAAAGTGGTTCTGAGCATCGGGTACAAGCCTTTGCTTTCAATAGATTACTAACCTGCAATTAAAAAATCACTCTGGGTAATGGATACCAGGCGAGATGTCCAGAGAGGGGTACCCTGGGGTTTTTTTTTGCTGTGTTTGTTATTTTAAACCATAATCAAGAATCAACACAGTTTAGTTGTTTCAAAGTTGGAAAAAAACAAGAGAAACCATCTCAAAACATGCGAGTTTGGGTTTCAGCACCCTTTTTCTTTTGTCTTGCCAAAGAAAAATCCAAATATTGGATCATGTTACCTATGTCTGAGCCAGAACTCTTGCCGGTTTCAGTGGGGAGCTCTGCTTAGAAATCAATGGTACGATATGGCTTCATTTAGAAAAAAAAAGTTGACAAATAATTATTGGCTCATAATTGATACTGGGAAACAACCCAAAAATTAGATAAATAAGCAAACGTAGCTAGAAGGTCGAGATTTATAAGCATGTCGTGTTGCAAATACGGGAAGCTTGTTTCTCTTGAAGAAATTACGTATGGATTATTATTCCATCCTTAAATCCACCATAAACTCCTTAGCGAGCTCAGAAATGTGGATTAAGTAATCCCGTGCATCCATCTTTTTCCAGAAAAGTTCTCCAAGGTGATTCCTCTATAAGGTAACACAGTGTCAGTCAGGAAAAGATATCCGTGATCATATCCATACAATTTTGGAGCTATTGTGGTCCAATCAGAGAAAAGAAGCCTCATACCTGTAAACACACATGCATGCACCAAAGGTTTCGTCTTGCACAATCGAAATGCAGAAATCAAAGCTAAAAATCCAACCTGTTTTGCAAAAAGACTATTCTAATATATTCTAATATCACAGGCAGAGCCGATAGCATCAACTACTACTGCAGTTTGCCAAGACGAAGGCCCCAACCACAGCTGCGTATAACTTTGCTGAATTTAAGTGCTTGCACTGAAATTTTCCACGCCAAGTGTCAGCCTGAATCTGAAATATTTGGGAAAGCTTCAGCCAAAATGATTTGACCATTTCTGAGAGCAAGGCTACGAAGGGAAAAGATATTGTTTTGCCCGTGTTAAAAACAGTAGCAATCTTTCCTTTGAATTCAGGATCCCGAGCAGGGGGACTAGCTTTTTTTCCCCAAAGCTGTGCCTCGAAAATCTGCCAACATTTATCAATGCTATGGGCCTTAAAATCGCAGTAGAAATGTCTGCGATTTCAGTCAGAAGTTCTTGCCCTGCAAGTGCAGGTCTGCATGACTGGGGACCATGCCGGATCTGGGCACCCTTACTGAGATCAGAGAAAGTCTCTTCTGAGCTCTCAACGGCACTTGGATGAGAAGAAAGGGGTGGAGGGGAGGCACCGGGACGGGCGAGGCAAGGGGAATATGTCAAGAGCACCTGGGACAAGACTGAGACGTGCCCCACCATGCAGCACTGGTCTCCCTGAAGGAGGACAACCTGCTAAAGCCCTCGATTACTCTGGCAGCTGAAGTGGCAGAGCCCTGTTTTACGGATCGAAAGGGCCCAGCCCTGTCGACGGCTCTCCCTGGGCGCCACTAGGATCCTCCACGATGGAGTGGGCACACGACACTTATCCGCTGGGGTTACGTGCACAGGTTTTGTACACAGGTATCAACTGCACAGAGCAGACAAGTGAGCGGCTCTCCAGGAGCTGCTCACAGCATGGCCACGTCCTGCCGGGACGTGGGAGGGGAGTACGTAATACTCTGTTCGCCCCGAGCAAATGGCTATCCCGCAATACTGCAGCCACACAGCTTTTATATTGGTTTAACTTCAACCTGTGTCTCTCGACCTTGGGACTTCCCAGGGCAATTCTAGGCCGGGCTCGAGTGAGTTACACTGATGGAAGGCCGTACTCTTGGCTTACACCAGTGCCAAAGCTAACCTCCGTGTAAAGGCTAAGCATGGTTTACTCCACCCTCTTCCAACTCTGAAAATATATTGATGCATCTGCTTTGGTAACACCCCATTGAGTCGCAGAAGAGCACTGAGGAGGGAAGAAACCCACGTGCCTTTGGCATTTACTGCAGTTCAGGTCTTGAGTGGGGCACAACACAATCACACTCAGGCTCCTAAAGCCATTCGGGTGCCTAACGGGTAGACGAGAATCTGGGCCCATGGGCTAAAAGTTAGATACGTGCTAAAGTGCCCCAGGGGAAAACCAGGAGCAATGGTCATAAACTCCTAGAAGAAGGATTATTTGGTTATAGGGAAAAACATCTTCACAGTTCATGTGGCCAGAGTCTGGAATAGATGCCCAGCGGGTGGTGGTGCAGGCACCTACCCTGGAGACCTTCAAGAGGAGACTGGATGTACATCTCGCTGGAGTTATTTGACCCCTGCAGTCTTTCTTGCCCAGAGCAGGGGGCTGGACCCCAAGATCTCACGAGGTCCCTTCCAGCCCTAAACGTCTGTGAATCAGTGCGTGAATCTGTAAAGTACACTGCTTAACTCGGCGGCCAACGTCCGGCACCAGAGGCAAACGCACTTCAGTGCAGGGCAGAAGGGGAAGAAGGAGAAAGAGACTGATGCACCGTGTGGTCGGTAGGGTGCTCGGAAATCCTTTGGCATGAAAAAACACCGCATTGATGTAAATTCATCTAGTAATAGTAACGACGCCTAAACCCATTTGCATAATGAATTTTAATGCAAAGGAGGAACCAGCATCCCTGGGAACCTGGCTGAAGTACAGTGCAACGCTCCTAAATATTCTGTGCAGCTGCTATGACCTTGAAACAATGATCTGGACGAGCTTGCTCCCCAATGTTCGCCACAGCAGACGTGTTCAAACTAGAGGATTAACACCTCGCACACCTATCAACAGACACAGGCATTAAACAGGACGCGATAACAGCATGTGCAGCCAAGGAGCCCCACATCCCAGTTCAACACCAGGAGGGTTATAAACACACAAGCTTCTGAATCCAGCGGTGAAAAACGTAAGCCTGCCAAGCTGAAGATGGATTGAAGTAATGACTAATATTTCCTGGGAAA